GAGCATGCCAAAACCTTTTTTTTTTTTATTTATTTTTTTTTTTAGGATTGTGAGTCGACGAACGTCGTGCGCCAGAACTGGTACAACGTAACTACTCAGGTTTTCTCTTTTTCATTTAAGAGCTGTTTTACCACATGCTTGGTGTTGAAATATTGAAATTAGAAAATTGGAAATTTGCAATTCGAAAAATATATTTCCGAGATCTTTGCAATCTGGAAAATATAATGTCCAGGTTGAGTGTCCTTTAAATGTTTTAACTTAAAGTTTGTTGGAAAAAATATTTGAAAATCACTCCGTTTTTCGACCAATTATACCACATCTGAATAAGGCTTCTAAAAGTAAACACAAACAGGCAGGCTTTGTACAATTAGGTATATAGGTCTAGTTAGGATTCAAACCCACAAAACTTGCGATGTACTAGCCAATTATAATTTATTTTTCATTTATTTTGGCATTGGCTACAAGGCCCTTCAGTTAAAAAGATATATAAAACTCTGTGATACATTAATTTAATTTGTGTAATTCTGTGAATCATTATTTTAATTAAGTATAATTATCTTATTAAATAGAATAAAAACAAAAAATAAAAAATATTGCTCCTTCTTTAATAATGGGTTAAAACAATCTGATGTAAATCAAACAAAGCCCACACTTTTTTTGGATCCATCACAATCTTGTTTCTTGTCTCGATCTTTTACACGACGCACTGTATCCTTTTCAACGACGTGCTTATATACATAGGTGCGTTTTTAAGTTCGCGGAATGGGTAGGTAGTTGAGCAACTCATTATTAGTATATATACCGGGTTTTATTGTAATTAGATCATGTCTTTGAGGTATCGCCAACCAAGTCAATCGGGAAGAGATTGTGAAATATGGAGAAAATCGAGTTCCGTGCCGTTATAAAGTTCCTTACCAAGCGCGAAAAAATCAGTTCAGATTATATTCGAAGAGATGTCATCCGTTTACGGAGACTCTTGTCCAAGTAAAGCTATGGTTTACAAGTATGCATACCCTTTTTAAACAAGGCAGAGAGTCACTTGAAGACGACCCACGGTCAGGAAGGCCGATCGAGGTGACCACTTCGGAAATTATTCAAAAAGTCGAAAAATTTATATTAGAAGATACCCGCTTAAAGAAAAAAACAGCTTGCAGAAATGGTTGGAGTATCAGGTACAACCATTTTCAAAATTCTTTATTAGATATCTTGGCATGACTATAGTCAGCGCAAAATGGGTGCCTAGAATGATCACGCTGCCTCAAAAGCAACAGCGCGTGGAGTATTCTCGTGCATTTTGGACCTCTGTATGGAAGACAAAGATGGAGTGTTGGCTCGAATTGTTACTGGTGACAAAACTTGAGTTCACCATTATGAACCTGAGTCTAAACGGGACTCTATGCAGTGGCACAAAAAAGGCACACCACCACCCAAGAAATGTAAGGTGGCACATTCGGCTGGGAAAATCACGGCGACAGTCTTTTGGGACTCAGAAGGAATCCTATTCATTAATTATAAATATAAAGGTGTCTCCATAACCGGAAATTACTACGCTTCAATCCTAGAATAATTGAAGGAGAAAAGAAGGTGAAAATTGACCAAAGGAATCCTTCTTCTGCACGACAACGCGCCTGTTCACGAGTGCCATGTTGCGATGGCTGCCCTGCAGAAGTTGGGCTTCGAAATTTTGCCATACCCACCCTATAGTCCTGACCAAGCCCCCAGTGATTATTATCTATTTCAAAACTTAAAAAAAACTTCTTGGGTAAACGTTTTAAGTGATGAAGAAGTGAAGGAAGCAGTTTCGGCGTATTTTTTAGACAAAGACAAATCATTTTTGAGGGTATACATAAGTTAATTGAAAGATCCGAAAAATGTGGTAGCAGGTGAATATATTAAAAAGGAAAAATAAATTTGGATTTTTATTTCCAACTCTCACCCCCCATTCCGCGAACTTTAAAATGTCCCCTCGTATCATAAGACTTTTAGTTACTTTAATTTCTGGGGGTTCATCATGATAAGCAATAAAGAGGCTATATTGATTCATATTAGGCCAATGAAAACCATTTTTTATAACAAGTCCTACTTGGGGCATCACTCGGTGTTGATTCAAGTTTGTCAGGTAATATATTATAGAACATTTTTTTACGTTTAACTAACAATGCAAATATTCTTTGCTTGAATTTGCATGAGAGTAAAGTGATTCCATACTCTGAAAACGATTTATATGTTTTCTTATAATATCATTGACTTTTTTATACAATAAGGATGACAAAATAGCACACTGTTCAGCTGATGAAAAATGGATCATGGATGCTGTGACTCATATAAGCCTACATCTATCATCGATCAGGAATTAAAACAGAGATGTGTTACACCTGAAGATTAAGATGGAATGCCTCGTTTCTAGTAAACTTCCGGTTATCTACACTACTAAACTACACACAACTAAACACAGCAAATACTATTAAACTGATATTACTTCAGTATTCCGTGAGGGCATGGCCCTACCAATTTATATTAACAACTATCTTGACCTATGATTTCTGACTGACTAGACATAACCAAAACAATACAAAAAAATTTCAGACATAGTAAATGTGTTTAAAAGGGAAGTACTGCGCACCTGGTACTTTGGGCCTATAAGAGATAGATAATGAGTAATCTTTTAAGCCTTAAAATTTCGTCTCTCGGTAGTAGCCTTCGCTGTTTGGGCTCTCATTCAGTAATGTGTAGTAAAATAAACTCGGGCCACATCGTTTTATCGTAAGTCTCACACGAACATTGACTTTTTTATATAGAATAAGGGTGACAAACGAGTACACAGTCCACCTGATGGTGAGTGAATGAAGTGGCTCATAGACGTCTACATTTATCTTCGATTAAGAATCAAAGCGCAGGTGCGTTGTCACCCCTGAGGACTAAGATGGAATGCCTCACAACCTGTAATTATAATGTCTCTACCCTTCACACTGAAACGCAGATACGAGCACTATTACTTCATCACATGAAGTTGGCTGAAGGTATCCACTGCAGTGACCACTTACCATCATGTGGACTGTAAGTTTTTTTTCTCTACTTTTTTGTGACTAGTTTTATATAAAACAAGTTCTTGTCTCCTCCAGATTTAAGTGTTTTTGCTACAGCAATAAGGTTGGTTCTGTCAGAGGACCACGCTCACACAAAATACTGTCCTGAAATAGCAACATAATTATGTTTTGTTTGGTATGGTGTGTGTGAAGAAACGAGAATACTGGATGGTTTTTTTACTGTCTGGATAAAAATAGCGTGTAACAGGTGATCGGATTAGAAGCCTATGGCACTGATATTTTTCAATTATTTTGCTTTTACATTAACATAATATTATCAAATTGAATTATCAATAAATACCACTAATTAGAAATAAACTTTCGGTAATAGAAATATAAATACTAAAAATTTAAACTAAATAAATAAATCAATTAAAAACTATCGAAGTTAAAATAATACGCACCCAATTAGTAGTATTTATTGATAGAACAATTTTATAATATATTACTTTAAAGAAAAAGTAAAATATCAGAGCCATAGGCTTCTATTCCGCTCACCTTTCACCGTTTCTACGTGGTAGAGCCATGCTGCAGTTATATTAGTAGTATAGTTGTAGCACGAATGGGTCGGCTCGACCGGGGAAGGACCACGCTCTCACAGAATACCAGCGTGAAATAGTAGCTTAAAGCTGCTGTATTTCGTATGGTGAGTGTAGAGAACCTGAGACCCTTTTTTACTGAAAATGAGGCATTCCATCTCAGTCCTCACGGGTGACAACGCATCTGCATTTTTATTTGTAATGGAAGATAGATGTAGATTTCTATGGGCCGCAGCAACCACTTACCATAAGGTGGACTGTGTGCTCGTTTGTCAGCCTATTCTATAAAAAAAAAAAAAAAACCTGTTCCACTCAATTTTATTCCAGATGGTAAAAAAATCACCTAGTATATTCCATTTTCCTGATAACGCAACCATTCTTAGTCCGTAGGTCCTCCAACGAGTCGATGATATATGCAGGTGTATATGAACTACAGCATTCGCTTACTATCAGTGGGTTGTATACCCGTTTGTGAGTTTTACTGTTATCAAAATATACGTGGTAAGGCCCTGGCTCGTGGCCAATTTGTGCTGCAGCCGTACAACAGCTGCGTCCTGGCCTGATCCCGATCCGTATAATTAGTTCCATTCCATCAATATCAGGTTTGAAAACCCATCTACATCTTGATTCTTTTATTGAGTCTATGAGCTACAAAATCTACTTACCATCAGCTGAACTGTGTGCTCGTTTGTCATTTTTCTAACAATTTTTTTTATTTGTCACAGCCCATCAAAAGTTCCCTGCTGAATATAGGTCTCTCCCGTAGCTTTTCTCTTGTGGAGAGATATCTGAAATAATTACCATACTTAGCAGTCAAGTTTGCAACCCCAGTTTTTATTACTATGACTTCAAAAAAGTAAGTTCTTAATTCGATTGTATGTTTTTTTATGTGTACCTCAGAAATTTTTCTAGGAGAACCGATTTTGATGATTCTTTTTTTATTTGAAAGCTGGTGCTTTTCGTGTGGTCTCATATAAATTTAATCAAGATCTGACCAGTAGTTTTTTAGTAATCTTTAATATAAGTACCTATTTAATTGACTTCGACTACATTGATGATGTTCTGATTTTATTTATATTGAAGTCGGTTGTACAGAATTTTTAATTTTACCACTTGTTAGGAATATGCTACTGCTTCCTACCGCTTGTTTCCCACCATTACCTCACCCACGGGATTATATGGGACTATACTGTCATAATAATCAAAAATTTTATCGCTGTGTCTCACTATAATAACAATTTCATTGGTACCGACGAGGATCAAACCCGGACTACTCGCGTACTGTAATAATTACAGAGAGCACTTAGCCTCTGAGCCATTAACACAGCTCTCAGGCATTAAATTTAATAAATACAAATTCCATAAAAATACTTACAAAAAACTGACCGCCGCCTGTACACGACTGGCTTCCATATTGTCTTGCAATAACAAAAAAATCATCGGACACAAGAACCTGCGCACTGTTATTATCATTGTATTCACACAATCACTATCAAGTTAAACACTATTAAAACTAGCTAACAATAATAAAAAAATGATTCATTTTATTTCTAACTTTTCAATCCTTTTAAATATCTTGGTGTGAATCAGACAACTGCAAGTGACAATGGTCGATGGAGATCCCAACACCTTACAAGTATAATCCCTTTAAGGGTTTATATAAACATGTTTATATAAATTTAGTTATGGGTATCGATTATTTATGTGCTATAATTATATACACGTGAAGGGTGAAAAGAAACCTTTGGTCAAAAAATACAGAAAGCACGTGCCCTTCAGTGAGATTTACAGGCTATTACTGGGCTGAACCGTGTATTTACTTTGTAGGTAGAGGTATCTGGACGTACTCGTGCTGTTCACTGGGTTCGTTCAAAAATTATATGAATAAATAAGAGCAGGTTAACTTGTGTACCTCAGCCCAGATATGGGAACCGTATTATACATTACAAGGCGTAATAATCATCGTTCGCAATTTTAACATACGGAATTTTATACTTTCGAATAGTTCGTTATTTCGAAAGCTCGTTGATCTGACTTTTTGACGTAAAGCCAAAACATTGTTCATAAAACATCGTTCATGAATCAACGATGTATTATCGATGTTTTGGGTTTGAGCATCGATGCTAAAAAATCAATGTTTATGAACATTATATCGATCTAAGAAAATGCAAGAAGAGAGAGGAATTAAATTATGCAATTCTTGCGCACGCTCTCCGAAATGCGTCCTGTAGAAAACCGAAAGGCTGGCTATTTTGTGCCTGTGTTCAAAGCTGGTAAGATTTGTTTTAACCAAATTCGGGTCACTATTAAGCCTCTTAGCACGCCTTTCCATTAAGTCCAACGCCGCTGGATGGCATTTTGCGGAACCAGTCCATATATGGCAGCAATACTCCATGTCCCAGCGTGAATAATCGCCGCACCTTTGCAAGGACTCCTAGCTTTTTTGCAGCTGCTTTGGCTTTGGACTCACTGAACCGCCCGAACTTCAGATTTGAGGATATCTGAAGGTGGTCGGTGTATTCCAGTGATACATTTCAGAAAGAAGTAGCCAAGAAGAGCTGGTTCCTTTTTGCAGAGAAGAGACACGTTTGTTTTTTTGGAGACGTTGAATTTTACAAGAATCGGCATCGCCCCATTCGGAGGCTGTCTGTAGTGCGAGATTCACACGTTCTTCTACCATAGCTTCTCTTTTGGACTGGATTTGATCCTGACTGGCCCGAAGTTAACAAAAAAGCTTACTCATAGATACCGGGCATAAATAAGCACATGATTAATATGCATCAGAAAGAGAGTTGCAGAGAGAACGGACCCCAGAGGAACACCGGCATTAGTCGCCTCAGAATCGGATGAGCAGCCATCGAAGACGATCCAGAGAGACCATTCACTCAGAAAGTCCTTTACCCAGTTAATCAGATCAGGGAATAAGCCGTACGTTGGAAGCTTATCTAAAAGGTTAGCGTGCCAAACTCTGTCAAAGGCCTTCGTGACATCAAGGGAAACAGCAAGTGCTTCCCCACTGTTCTCGAGTGCCTCGCCCCATACGTGAGTGGCATACGCTAGAAGGTCCCCAGCTGACAGATTTTGGCGAAACCCGTATTTCTGGTAACTAAGCAGGTCATTCTGTTCTAGGTATGCCACTAAACGGTCGTTCAATATACCTTCCATAATTTTTCAGAGTATGGAGGTAATTAAGATCGCCCGATAAAGGCAGTCGTGCCGATCGCAAGGTCGGCACGGCTGCCTTTTTTAGAACAGGCTGCACGTTGGCCAGCTTCCAGGATTATGGTACTATTCCAGTCCTAAATGAGAGGCAGAACAAGCGTATCAACACAGGCGACAACTCAGGTGCACAAGCCTTTAGAACTATAGCTGATATACCATCTGGTCCACTAGTTTTATTTACGTCTAGACACCGCTAGTTTTTCGGAACCTCCTTATTTGTGATACGAACATTCGGCATAGAGGTTCCGCAGTGAGGTAATTGAGGTGGAATGTTGTTGTCACGGTCCAGACGCGAATTGTAGGCAAACAAAGACGCAAATAAGTCCACTTTGTCTTTAGCCGTATGCGTCAGTGTGCCAACCGGTTTTACCAGCCAGCAGAAGTTTTTCTCAACCGCTTTGGCAAGAGACCAAAAGGCTCTAGTGCCGGATGGTCTGGCAGATAGTTTAGCGCCAATATGTTTAATGCGATCAAACTGGTGTTCCGTAATGCTTTATTGTAGGACTTGGCAGCCTGGTTGAGAGTTCTCTTCTTGGAGCTGATATCCGGAGCTTTGTGGTTTCGAGCGTCAACTCAAAATACGTAAGCTAAATGCTTGAGTTTTTCAGCTTGGGCGCATTCAGCGTTAAATCATGGGCGAGCTTTGCTACCGATGAAAGCGTCAGAAAAGGGGTTAAATTATTCCATAGCTTGATGCAACACAACGGTTATCGAATCCGCGCCACACGACAGATCCGCAGAAAAGAAACAGACCTTCCACCAAGTGTCGCATCTCATCCCAATCAGCTGATTTATAACCGCCATATTCGTCCAAACATCTTGGGACTCGTAATCAAGTGGAGAATATGACTAAACAGACTTCACCAGACAGTGGTCAAGGAGGCAACCTGTACTTCATACCTGTCTGGTTCGGTAGTCAGCGGAAGGTCCAAGCAATTGGCTGTGTAGCTGTCTAGATCGGGTACCCTAGTCGATTCTTTTACCAGCTGAGAAAGACCTAGCGTCAACGCATCTGGTCGTTGGGTATGGGAACGGCCAGTCTGGTGACAGGCGTTAAAGTCCCCCAGGAGGACCAGCTGTGCTGTAGGATACCGATTTAGGGCCACATCAGCAGCCTCACTAAGATGATCAAATAAACGTGATGCTTCCCGGCCGCCGCTGTGCGATCGATATATAGTATACGGGCATATAGGACTTTAATGATTTCAACATTGAATAAAACTATATTTACGAATTATATCGCGATTATATATAAAAATAAGTAAAAACAAGATAAAATAAGCTAATTAACCGCGATATAATCCGTAAATATAGTTTTATTAAGTAAAGAATAACGGCGGCATGCCTGGGCAGTTTTGACTATTTAAGCAGGTTCCTAGTTTTCTAAAATAATTTGTTTATTGAAAAAACAGGAACATGACAATTATAGAAGATATATTATATTGTACCGAAAAAAAATTCGACCTAGCGTCATTAAAGAAGAAAACAGAGGAGTGCCTTTGTGTGAGTGGAGTGAATATCCTCTTATTGGTTCGTATTAACAAAGTCTATATTCGAATCATTTTTTGAATTTAATTTGGGACTTCCGAGTACTATTATTTATTCTGTGCTACCGATTCAACAAAAATTATTGATTTGACTTGAGCAAATTTTTAGGCGAACCGTGTTAGCTCCGGTGGTTAGCGCTCGCTGTAAATTTCAAAGAACGCGAGCAACCCGAGTTCGACCCCGCCGGCACCAATGAAATTATTAATTGCAATTTTAAGTGCTGATTTACCACGTGCTCGGCGGTGAAGGAAATCATCGTGAGCAAACCTGCATGTCTGAGAAATAATAAAAAATATTTCGAAGACATGTAAAGTTCGCCAACATGCATTGGGGCAGCGCGGCGGACACTTCCTTGCCCTAAAACCCTCTCAGAAATGAGAGGTCTGTGCCCAGCAGTGGGACGTATATAGGCTGTAACATTAACTTTTAACTAACTTTACTTATATTTTAAATAATATTACGAATATCTTACTTTATATTTTCAATAAAAAATAGTCCATATAAATATAGTAAGTATAATACCTACATAATATGAATGCCATGTACATCGTGGATATCAACTGTATGGCTTCTTCGCCCAATACTCGATAGCGGACGCAATCTTATTGACTGTAATATATACCTAGGTATTTTACGTACCAATACTTTTCTTAGCGAGAAAGAAAAAGGCTTTGGCCGCAATGACTTGTTTTACTTTCCACTTTTTAATATACTACCTTATTATTTTATTTTTGCCATTAACTATACGAAAATATTTAGAAAAGGAGTATTATTTTTTTATTAATATGTAATTTTTACTACAATAATTAAGACTAGATCCCAAAGAAAAGCCTATGTCATGTCCCAATTTAACCCGGTCTTTATTTATTGTATTTATATATCTTATCCTGTCATAATTCTGTATTTATTTAAAAAATATATAAAGTGTGTTACATAATCTAAATGAAATTATATTCAGCTAGGCAGTTTGATGAGATGGTAAGTAAAAAGAAAAAATGTATACACATTTTGTATAATAACTACGAATAGCTAAATTATAATAAATAACAAAGCTGCCTACCAAAACTATATAGTATCTTGCCTTTAAGCTAAAATTCTTAGGCCTTCATCACATTGCCACCAGGTGTGATTGCGATCAAGCACTGACTTATAATAAATTAAAAAAAAATATAAACCCTTTGGTTAAATTACTTTAAATTCAATTAATATCAATATTAGCCTATATGTAAATACGTGTATAACAGAGCATATTTATCAAAAATAATTATGATATAACTTAGTTGCAATTAGCTGTTAACTCATTAGAATGTGAAAATAAAAAACCAGTGTTATAAACACATTCAGAGATCTAATATTGTAACCACTTAATCAGATCACGATCATTGAGTTAATCAATCTGATTCAATGATGACGATTAAATTATAATAATTTAATTAAGAAAGGCTAAACACGGATGCTAAAAATTAACACGCTATAAAATATGAAAAAAAGGGACAGAAATTATAATTGATCAGAGATTTCAAATAAGATTGAATGAATAATTACGTAAAATGTTTAGTAAATATATGAGTAATAACCACACAATTCTTCGACTATATTACAAGTATAACTAGTAATTTTTGGGCGATTTTAAGTCACAAAAT